CCGACATGATTCTGCAATCTGCATTTGGGGTAAAAATTGGGAGTTCATAACCCACTTCAACCTAATGTATGAAATATGATATGTCAAGAGCTTTGTAATGTTGTGAACAACCAATAAAAATAAAAATTATAAAAAAAATCAATCAGAAAAGAATATAAGAAAATAAAATGAAACATGATCTTAGTATTGTCCTAAAGGTTTTTAAAAAAATTACACATCTTCCTCAAAACCAGGAGTTCCCCCCACTGAAAAAGACGTTGCTAAAAAGAATGTATTTCTTGCCTGGATGTTACATATTTTTCATACATCTCTTCTCTAGCCTTTTTGGTTTCTTCAAGTTGAGCCTGAAGTCTTTCAAGGCGATCCTCTTCATGGGCACAGCGCACACTCAACTCCATGTTTTGGCGATTGAGATACTCTTTATCCTTTTGAAGTAAAGTTACTGTCTGCTGTAAGGTGGCCACCTATGGGTATAGAGGGACAATGTTCAGAGTAATACAGCCTTATTTTTCTAGGCTGACTGTATTCAATTCTTTAGTCATGTTTTCTCTCAACACATAAAAACTATCCCTTTAAAAAGGACTAATTCTTACCTTAAAATTGTCTATCCAAAAAAAGCTATTAAAAGTCTTTTTTTCCCCCCCCTGGCAACTACATCAAAAAGGAAAACTGTCCCTCCCATAATTTTGCCCTGGGCTATTTTCCACTAATATTATACTATAAAATATAAATGATTCTACTTATAAGCTTACCTCTTTTGATAATTCATTTCTTTCTTTAGCTTGAGTTATGTGAGAGGCTTCAAGTATCTCATGTTTTCTCCTCAACTCGAATACTTCCTGTTCTAGTGCATCACGTTCACTATTAAAATCAAATGCAAATATACATACAAATTATTTATTTATTTATTTGTTTATTTATTTATTTTTATAGTGCTAAGGAACAAACCCAGGGTCCTGGGTACACTAGAAGTGCTCCACTGAGCAACATCCCCAGCTGCCCTCATATAGTGAGCATTTTCAGGAAACTGAACAGACACACTGAGCACTAGGACTTTGGTGCTACTTTATGAACTATAAACAATTTTTCAAATTTAGAAGGTCTGTGTTCAAAAACTTGTTAAGATAAATATAAATTTATTAAACCTAAAAAATATATATATATATATAAACTAGGCCAACAAGTAAATAATAAAACTTTCTGAGGTATACTTTGGTATTTTTTTCACTAATCACCTTGAATCTTATCTTGAAGCCAAAACTTGTAAGAACTTACACATAGCTATAGGCTTTCAGTTCAATTGGGGTCAAAAAGCCCCTCATAATTTATCACTCAGATTGCACAGCAGCTATGTAAGCAGACATTCCTATAACCATTTTTTTTAGAAATTGCTTATGATTACTCAGATATTCTAACTCCTATTATTATATTATATTATATCATATCATATTATCTCTCTCCCCCAGAATACTAAATCTAAGAATTGGATCAAAATCACAATAGGCATCTTTAAAAATGAGCAGAAAAAGAGATTTGCTGACTTAATTACTCCTCTTCAGTCAGAAGCAGTGCCTTGTACTTTACTTCACTGACCTCCAGGTACTGCATGGAAAGAGCTGTTAAGAATTGTTTTCATGGGGGCTGGGGATTTAGCTCAGTTGATAAAGTGCTTGCCTCCTCACATGCACAGGCCCTGGGTTCAATCCCCAGCACCACACACACACACACACACACACACACAAAAGAAGTGTTTTCACCAGCTCTTTAATAACTCATTTAGATCCTGTTCCCTAACATACACTTGTCCATTGGTTTTAGATTCCATTGATGACTCTCAATCAAATATTAAGGAGGCTACAAAATGGTCATCCTAACAGGCACATACACTTACTGGTCCACATTTTACTCTGCAGATTCTCTTTCCTTCCTTACTTATTATTAGCATACCCTCACAAATTCCTATTCTATTAATAATTATAATTCGTTATTGTCAATATTCACTTTTATATTTAGCCAGCTGGAATCTTTTTAAACCAGTTACTGTTTAAAAAGGTACTGAACTGAAACTAGAAGTATCAATATCTTACCCACCATGCCTATTAAGCTTCCTCCCTCTACTGCCTTAGCCTACTAACAGATCCAAGAAACAATGACCAATGTAGTAATGACCATAGCACCCAGATCTTAATTTCTAAATAGCATCTCCCACTGAAAGAAATTAGGACTCCTTAGAAAAAGAGCTGAGACAATGACAACATAAAACTAGGAACATTATGTTATGCTAGAAGGCAAGGAACTGCTAAAATAAATAATATAAAAGATACATTCAGATGTAATTTATTGATTTTTAACTGCCACATAGAATTATCAAGGTCATATCCCTTTGTCCATTTTTTTTTAAACCATTCACTCTACCAAGTGAACCAAAAGGTCCAGTTTGAGACCCTCTTGTTTCTTTTTCTGTTCCATTTCTAGCACATGAGAATGCTTATTTCATGCTTTTTGATCAAGGCTATATTTTTCTTTCCTAGGTTTTTATTATAGAAAATGAAAAACATACATAAAAATAGATATGATATAATAAACACCCATATTCCCATCATTCAGCTTCAATAAGGATCAACTCATGACTCATCTTGTTTCATTTATCCTTCATTCATGGCCCCTCTGGAATATTCTGATGACTACACTTGTTAGTTTTGTCTTTTTATATTTTATCTATCATTGCTACAGATTTATAGTGGAAGCAGGGCATCAAAATACCAACTTAAAATATTATCTGACCATCACAATCTACTTCATTTTTAAAAATGTATCTCTTGATATTATTTATAGCATGATACACCAATTAAAAAAAATTGTAAAAAACAAAATATAATGATTCTTTTTTTAATCTAGCTTTATTCAGGAGGTCACCAAGTGTAGTTCTTACAGATTTCAAGTTCTAAAAGTTACCATATTAGCAAGACTAATAATAATAATGATAATAACAATAGATATCATAAGTTTGTCACAGTGGATGTAAAAATGCCAATGTTAATGAGCTAAATTTTTGCAAAGTCACTTATGATGTTAAATAATTTATAATTTAAATAATACAGTTTAAAGCATTCATTTATTCATTTAACAAAATATTAAGTGACTATTATAATTCTAGAATTAATTTTAGGGGCTGATGTTGTAGCTCAATGGTAGCGTGCTTGCCTAGTAATCTGAGGCACTGGTTCAATCCTCAGCACCATGTAAAAATAAGTAAATAAAATAAGGTATCATGTCCTTATTTACAACTAAAAAATATCTATAAAAAAAAGGAAGAAGGGCTGGGGCTATAGTTTGTGGTAGAGCGCTTGCCTTGCAGTGTGAGGCACTGCGTACAACCCTCAGCACTACATAAATAAATAAATAAATAAATAAATAAATAAATAAATAATTTTAGGTGCCAGGAGATATAACAGTGAACAATTAGGAAAAAGTCACTCCATCTGCATGTACATGGTATATATATTTTAAAACATTCATGAGTATGCCTTTATTGATTTTGTTTATATAATGCAGTTACATATATTAGCACCGCCGCATAGGTGACAAAACAGACTCAGAATAAAAAGAGATTTACCTAGAAATTTATAGATAAAGAGTGCAAAAGGATATTCCAGTTAAAGGAAGATATTTGATATTGTTACTTAGTAGCAACATATTTGGGAAACATGTTTTCAGAAAGTATTATTATTTTTTTTTTTATTGACAACAGGTTACTTTATCCAGCTATAAGACACCAAATGACATAAATAAATACCAACCAAATTTGTTATTTATATACAAATTTGAGACTTTTGCTACAGATAATTTCAGTTTGAAGAACACTAACTTGGCAAAATGCTCTCCTAAGCTTGACATTTAACTAAGTTTAACTTCTAAAGTACAAGTTAGAATCCAGAGTTTACAGTAACAATAATCACAAGTATACATGAGTTAACAAAAATCGAAGGATAGCCTTGAATCTCTTATACATTTAGGAAACAGTGTTAGTAATCAGAATTGACTTAGTCAAAGCAAAGGGATATAAGATAGGTCTTTAAATGACAGTGTGGCCCTTCTATGTCAGATACAATGTATAAAAGAGAGCACTTATTGGTTATCTTGCCTATAAACTTACGTAAACTTTCATTTTATAAACTTTTACATAACACTTAGACAAGGCTTAGACAGATATAGTTCTCAAGTGCATACATATACCTAGTCACATATATTCTGGGTATCAACTATATTGTTATAACCTAAACAACAGTTGTTTGTTTAACCAGTTACAAAGTAGTCATTTAAAACTTTAAAAACAGATACAAAAAACCATAATTCCTTTAAAGACTTAGTTTCCCTATGTTAAAAAACCTGTCAGATGTAAGAAAATTATCTTGATAGATAAGAGATCAATGTTCTAGACTTTGTTTCATATCAGTACATTAAAATTTAAATAACTTTAATTGACTGTGCAAATTATAGCCAATTTAATTGAAAACACAAAGCTTTTAAGATTCATCTTCTGCAAACCTTTTGTGATTTACTTAAATATTCACAACTTCTTTATACACTCTTAGTTTTGTCCTCCAGAAAGTACTATTTTCTGAAAAAGTGCTGTTTATTAAGAAAGAACAGCTCAACACCCTTCTGGGTAGGTAGGTGGGAAAAAACTGAAGAATTTAATTTTATTACATAAAAATGATTATTAAATAACATTTTAAAAATATTTACACATGTGGGATTTTATTGGGCTCCTATCTTCTTTTTCATTTTAAAAGACAGTAGCAACTTATGAAACAAAATACAATTAACAATGTTGATGGTGAGAATTCAAGTCTGTGATGTGTGTCAAAAATGAGAACAACTATTGGAGCCATCTTAATTACTTACCTCTTGACTTTATCATAATTCTCTTGACGGTAGTCACCTTGTTGAATTAACTGCTTTGTGTCTGCTAATTCTAAGGCCAAACGTTGACATCGAATTTGAAGTTCTGAGTAATTTCTTCGATCTTCTTCATATGTCTAAATGAAAGAAACATTCCCAGCTAAACACAGTTGACAAATTTTGTATTGAATCCTTCTGTTAAGCAGTGAATATCCTCATAATAAACTAAAAAATCCTGAAAATTTCTACATTATTTAGTAAATTTTCCCCACTCAAAGGTAATATTAAATTCACAAAATTGTTTGTAAGTTCATTTGTTTAAATCTAAATTGTTTTCCAAATAACAAATACGACAATTACTATACTACTGTTATTATAGTAATGTCAAATGACATTTTTCAACATTTATTGAGTCACTATTGTATGTCAGTGATAAAGAAATGAATAAGACAAAATCCTTGCTCTCTAGGAGTATACAATTTTGAGATGAAGAGCCATGACTATAAATATCTAGAATAAAAATTTTTAATGAAGAAATTAACCATGATTAATTAAGCTGTGGTATATAGGGAAAAAATTGTGTGGCCCTTGGAATACATCTGTATGTTCATATCCCCCGTACTATCACTATACTAGTAGCACATATTCACTGAGATATGAGGAGAGATGGAAGTAAAAACCTTAAAGTACATGACAAAGTCTGGACAATCTTACTTGCTTTCTATAAGCCTCATTTCTTTTTTTTTTTTTTTTAAAGAGAGAGTGAGAGAGAGAATTTTAATATTTATTTTTTAGTATTTGGCGGACACAACATCTTTGTTTGTATGTGGTGCTGAGGATCAAACCTGGGCCGCATGCATGCCAGGCAAGCGCGCTATCGCTTGAGCCACATCCCCAGCCCAAGCCTCATTTCTTATCATTCCCCAAAGTCACACTTCATCCTCCAACTCATATGGAGATTTAAACTTCTCTGAGTGTACTATGCTTCCTCTAATTTGTTGCTACTACCTGAATACCTACTTATAATCTGAATATTTTCTTCCTTCAAGAACCATTCTTACTGTACATCAAATTAGTTTTCTTTATATCTCACCAGAATGGAAACATCTTAAGGTCAGGGACTATGTCATGCTCCCCAGTGGATCTCCATCATTTGACATAGTACCTGATATATAAAGAATAAAATAAATGCTTTGCAGTAGTTTGAGGAATAAATGAATATGGGAACTTGGAGGGAAAGCAGGACACAGGCACTCAATTTCTACCTATTTTCTCCCTTTGAAGTCATCAGATCTTTCATTCAATCATCAGCTCCACCCCCAGAACCTGGAATGTTAAATACATCCTGTCCTAAGTGATTCCTTCTTAACAGCTGACCAGCTAAGTGTGGTCATATTTACTCCACAAATACCAACTGAATTATTGTTATATGACTGGTTCTGGGCTAGATACTGTAGACTTAAAGGTAAATAAGACAGGTTTTTTCCCCCTTTCTCTCTCTTGAAACTATTAAATATAACTTTAAATTTTTAGCTTCCAAATTTCTAACAAGGTGCTGTTTGAGAGATGTAATTTAGAAATAACTGTATGTAGTGTGTTTTGCTCCGATTTAGTATTATGTTCTCCTACACTGAAGTTCTCTATGAGAATAGAAGAAATACTATGGTATTTATTATAGGATTACAACTAAGGATACTATACCACTTCCCAAGGGATCATCATATACTCATTTCAGACTTAAGTCCTAAAGAAGCTCTAGTTCTAAAGGATACTCTATAATTCTAAACTCTACTAATCATGTACCCATTTTGAAAGACAGTATAGTGTTATGGCTAGGAAGGCAAGCTCCACAGTTCAAATGTTTAGAATTGAATTACCTGAAGAATGACTTTGGGCAGGTTAGTTTACCTGTTTTAGTGTTTGCCTCACAGGGTTCTCCCAAAGATTATATCAAGTAATACATGTAAAGTCCTCATAAAAATGCATAACAGAGTAAATGATCAGCTATAAGATAATACGATTAATATGTTTTTTCCTTGCTTTGGCTTCCAGAGAGATCACAACTCAATTGATAGTTCAACTTCTTAGTAAGTGTACAAAGACCATGACAAAATCCAAAAGAATATAAACATAAGAAATATTAAACTCTTAAAGGATGAACAAAAAACAAAGAGCCCAGGGAACCTACAGGGGCTTTCATAAAAGCAAAGGATAAGCCTGAAGTGTGTCAGGAACAATAGTAGAAAAGAGTGCTCTGAGGAGTTAAAGCAGTCAATGGTAGTGAGTACCACTGAGAAAATTAACAAACCTTTAATTATCAAGGGTGGAAGGCTGAGTGGCAGAGACTGAAGCATATATACTGAATACTTAGTATATTCTTATTTTGTGCTATATTCTATGCATTATCTCAATACTTTATGACGGTATATAAAGATTATCCTCATTTCTTTTTAAAATTCTTTTTTAGGTGTTGATGAACCTTTATTTTATTTATTTGTATGTGGTGCTAAGAACTAACCCCAGTGTCTCACACATGCTAGGCAAGCACTCTGCCACTGAGCCACAACCCCAGCTCTATCCACATTTCTATAGGTGAGGAAACTTAGGCTTAGAGAATCAAATCTCCAAGAGCTCCTAAATAGTGGAGTGAGTGCTCTAAGCTTATCAAACTCCAAGACTGTAAGAAACTTCTAGGGGCTAGGGATGTGGCTCAGTAGTAGAGCTCTCGCCTAGCATGAGCGGGACACAGGGTTCGATCTTCAGCACCACATAAATGTAAAATAAAGATATTGTGTCCACCTAAAAGGTTTTCAAATATTGATGGGAAAGAACTAACTTCAAAAGAGGTGCTTATTTTGGAGAAAAGAGGAATTATAGAGGGCAAATACCCAGAGAGGACTTAGGGAATGGGATCAGCAGCTACCCTTGTCATAGAAGACATTTTTCCACCCTAATACACAGTATTAAAAACCTAATTTTTTATAGCGTTTATCAACTTGCCTCAGGTCACAGAAAACTCCTTATCCTAATGCTTCACATATTTATATTATCCACCTAGTTTCCAAAGGCATATAAGATTTTTTTATTCATTGAGGACAAGAGTCATCCCACTATATGCAAGAAGAACAAACAAATTGGAATGAGTATATATGGAAGTAAGTGCGTAGGTTTGGTGGCATGAAATTGTGGAATTTCTCATCTGAGGACTTCCATTTTCTCTGTGAAATCAAAGACCAAGTCATCCGTTGACAGTGAGAAGGAAAAGTAAAAGCTGGAAATGTGAGCAGGGTGGCGAATGCCTAAATTAGTTTCTGAAGAAAATGAGAAAACTAGAAAAAACAGGACCACAGTATAATTGTGTGAGCCCACCTGAAGCTGGTAACAATTAACTTGTAGTGCTTGTTACTCCTTATGTGATTTTTCTCCAGGAGTACTCTGTTAAAAAAGGGAGAGTTAAGTTTTTCTCAGGCTACTTTGAAAAAAGAAATTGAGGAAGAATTAAAGAATAATGGTAGAAGGCTTAAGACTGCTAACATGCATCATGAGGGAGGAAGACAGATTTAGGAAGAGACTGATAAATCATATGAGATTGAAAATTTTGTTAAAGATGAGTTGAAAGCAGATGATTCAGAAAAGTGGAAATACAGGAAGCAATATATTCAGTGGATCAAACTGAATTAATAACTTCAGAAGTAAATCAATTCTGGTAGCAAGTAACAGAATGTGGGCAATAAGACAGTGTTAAAGTAGAGAAGAGGCAATATCCAGAGATGAGAAGATCAATGAAATAAAAGTTCAGGGTTGTAGGTGAATCACAGAAGTAACACAGGCAGCAGTTGAAGTGAAAAGGAGGACTAAATCTACAGCAAGACTTTCACTATATTAAGAGAATGTTCCAGTGGTCTGCAAAGAGGAAGGGTATAAGGTAGAGTATCCAGATGACCTGAGTACACAAAGAAGCAGAGGTTTTGTGAAGGTGGTAGTACAAAGATCTAAAAGGGTAAACATCTAAGGAGGATATTGGCATCTGACTTTAAAATATATGGATATGAACTCCTGGTGGAGATAGCAGTTCCATGGGAGATAATATGGTGTCTGTCTACGTGTAAAATAAATATGTCTGCATATATGGGTACATATATATCATGTAATATATAAGCATATATATGTACATTAAAACTTTCTTTAAACACCATATAAGAAAATACAGGCAGAAATTCAGTATAGAAATGTATATTTCCTACTAATACTTTGCTTAGAACTTTTCAACTGAAAATAAAAATGATTACTTTGCTTCACTTATTACAAACTAAAATAGAAAAAGGTATAGCACTGAAAAATGTGGAAAATAACATCTTCCCTTAAATAAGAGACAAAACCTTAAGACTGTAGACTTTGTGGATGACACTAAAAACAAGAGAAAAGATTATTTTGTATTACCATCAGCATTCTTCCCTGACCTAAGTTCAGTATCAACTTCTGTGGGAAGACTAAGCTGCAATTTTGAGTTAGATGTCCACATTATCTTTTCTTATAGCACCTGGTTCTTCTGTCAGAAAAGGTATTGCATGTGAGGAGAGCTGACATTACTTGCCTCCTACAACATACAGAAAATTTTTAGAAGTTTTCTATAATCTAGTCCTCTGTGTTTTAAATATAAGGTGTGGAGAATTCCAACGTGGCGGCTGACGCGGAGAGATCAACTCTGACCTCTTCAGCTGTGAGGGCATAGGGAGTTGTAAACAATCTAAATGCTGTTTGCTCAGGATCACTAGGCAATGCTGAGCTGACGTGGATCTGGGGCGAACAGTCTGGGCCTCTCAGAACACACACTGAGCCCGGATCGGCTGAATTCAAGCTCCCGTTCGCCTGCTTCCCGCAGACAAACAGCTGCGACTCAGCACTCATCCATCCGGCTGAAACAACTGGTCGGCCCTTCTGAACCTACGGAGGTAAAGGCCAACCGAGCCTTCATAGGCAGTGGCCACAGGTTTGAAACGGGGCTTGGGAGAGACAGTAAGGACCCACCCATTGCATTGGTCACCCGGCAAAGGGAAACGAACTGTCGCCATTTGCAAGAGATACCACCATGGCAGAGAACTGATGTCACCAGACTGCGGCGGAGGAGATAACTTCA